CACACTGGCAGACAAAGCATCCGCATCTAGTGCAGCTATGTTCTTGGCATTAACCAATTCACTGCTAAGCCCTGATACAATCTTTAGGCCGAGCTTGGAGTAGTACTCGCCATCTTCTTGAACAGATCCGTTCGAATCATCTCCTGAAGGTTGAGTCCTTTCACTTTCCATGGCCAACCTTGCTTTGCGGACACCTTCAGATCGAATAATCTCCTGGACAACAAAGTGAAGCAGTGTAGTCTTTCCATCGGCACCCTTGACATCTGACAACTTCAGAAGGGTGTCAAGTTTGAACGCGTTAGCACCACCACGGAAGGTCCCGTCATTCAAACGGTTTCCAGTTTTGAGAACAGCTTCTAGCAGCTTCAGAAAAAGGCGGTGCTTTAGTTCCCCACAAGCAGCCTGACACCAAAAAGATAGTCATTTTAGTAAAGGTTGGAGTGCTTTTCAGATTTAATACAGAAGTCAATTGCTTTCACTTGGCTTACCTCCAATTGCAGGAATGAATCCCTGAGACTTGAAGCATCTTCTTGCAAAGATGACATGAAAAGCAGAGCACTGATCCTCTTGTAAGCAAAAGGAATGTCAGTTAGTGCCTTCATGACTTGTTCCGCAAGACCTAGTTGCAAGTAGTCCCCATCGTAAAGCCTGAGTTTCAGCTCCTCCTCATCATTTGGTTTCATTCTCAAGATTGTCTCAAGAAGTAGTCTAGGAAGTTCATTTCCTAGAGAACAGAAGTGAAAGGAAATGTCAGAAAATGCTGCCTTTATGTGCAGACACATGCATCTTTTCCACATATGAATAAGCAAGCTACATGATCAATCAACAATAGTTTCTTATGAACGAACAGCTACCTTCAAGAAGAGCATCTTGAATGTCCTCTACCCTGACATTCATTGCCTTGAAAACAACTGCCAGGTTGCACGATTTCTTAAAATCAAGAAGAGAAACATGCTGAGGTGAAGGGTCAGCCATGGCAAGTTCCTTGTCCTTGGTGTTGTTTCTGTTGCCAGCGCCATAACCAAACAATGCCTCTATCATATCCTCGTTCACACTGCAAAATGGTTTGTCAGATACAAGCATCAAAATGCAGACAAATGGATTAATAACTTGTTGCTAGTGTAAAACTTACTGAAAAGAACCAAACTTGATGTCATGCCAGGCCATCGACTGGTTAGGATTGGCAAGAACTTTGTTCCAATAGAATGGTCGAAGTTTGGGTCTTGGAGCACCCACTTCAGCTTCAGATGATTCACTGGCCTGCTCGCTTGCAGATGATCCTTCAGAATGACTTGACTCAACAGGTGACATCTGAGGAAATCTTGCTAATGAGCCTTTGGGAGGTGCAGGTGGGGGAGGACCAGCCTTCCTGACAGGAGGAGGCGGTGGTGGAGGCGGCGGCGGCGGCGGCGGCGGAGGCATTGGTTTAGGAGCATCACTTGTGTTGTTCTGTGTTCCCCCAGTAGCTTGCGGGGGAGTTGACACATCAGTTGAGGTTTTAAAACAGCATGGAAAGCACCGACTCATGCTGCCTCCGGCCTTAGAAGTCCTGACCCCTGGATCATCCTTGTGAAGCTGACTGGAGGATGCACGGATAACAGGTGACGAGCCTGCATGAAATTGATGCTATATGATATAATACCACACCAAGAACGATCCAACATAGGTTCACAAGAAGGGATATTGCCTCACCAGGCGTGTTAGCCAACTGCATGTGAAGAAGAGGATGGTCATCTCTAGGCTCACCGACAGAGACCTTGCTCTTATTGCACCCACAGCAGTAGAAAATCAGAAATGCAGCAATGAACGAGAACGCCGCCGTCAGGAGCACAACAGTCAAGACCAACTTTATGTAGTTGTGCTGCTTATCGGAAGGTGAAACTGGGGGAGGCACTCCCCGACGCTTCTTTGCAGGTCTATCTTCGAGATGTCGGCTGCGAGGTTCGGTGTTCGGAGAGTTGGGAGGTGTAAATGGTTGCTCCGTCAGAGAAAGAGGAAACGGAGCTTGACCTCCGGAGGATGGAGCACCTCCAACCATTCGATCAGCCAAATGCCGTCTTCTTGGATAGAAGTTTGAACCAGGCAAGAACTGCTGGTCCTCAAGATAGTTGATAAATTCTTGTGACATGCCCAAGCTGAAATAATTTGCGCGGATACAGTCGTGAGTAACAGAAGACTTGTCAGGTGGAAGAAGGGCCAGAAGCTCCATAAGCAGCATCGTCTTCAGTTCACCCTTTGAAGAATGGCTCGGCGGTTCATCATAAGCAAACGTCTCCTCCGCGCCAACTACGTCTTGTAAGCAGATTGACCGTATTTTGTCCACCTGCATCCATCCATGAAACATCCTAAACAGTGAGGATTATATGATTCTTCAGCAAACTTAGCAAACGGCGAGGATTACTTGTAAGCAAATTGAACATATTCTGTGAGACAAGAAGTAAATTAAATTGGTAGTGATGAGTGCTAATTGACTAAAAATAATGACTAGAAAGGTCCAGAAACAGTCTGTGATGCTCATGCTGGAAAGTTCTTGTTGAACTGATACTCTTTGCGTGAGTAAACAACAACGGCCTAATTTTTTAAGGACAAGATGAAAGGGACTCGTACTCAAAAGTTCTTTTAAGATCAAAGCAAAGAAATCTACAACTAACTGTACTATTACATCGGTCCCTATCCTACAGGAATGAGAGTACTTACGAGATCCCCATCCAGAACCAGCGAAGAGGGAGGAGCAGAGGTGGAAGAAGAAGAGGCAGGCCGCGTCCAAGCAGACGAGACATGCACACCGTCCACCTCTCCTCCCCCTCTCGACGGCGCGACCAATACCGCCGCTACGAACAGCACAAGCAACCCCATCCTCCCCGTCATGGCTGCCACCTCTCAGATGCCCGTCCTCCCAAAACCCACCATCTTTGGATGGGTTTCGCCCTCACGGAGCGGCAACAGAGAGAGAGGAGGATCACTATATCTCGGGCCGTTGGGCGGCGGAATCGCCGAGGAGGACGGGTGGGTGCCGTTCGTTTTATGGAGCACTGAAGAAGACTCCCGGTGTCGGTCGGCTCGCACTAGCACTAGCAGATGATTCTGGTAGAAGTGGTAGGGGAGTCAGCATCCTGTGGCGTTCGTTGTTTTTATGGCAAGATGTGGATGCCTATTTTCCTTACTACTACTTGGAATTTGGAAGGAGAAGTTAGGCGTGACGGCACCCGCAGAGCATGAGGAAGAGCAGGCGGAGAGGGGAGCGAGGCGCTGACTTCCGTTCCGTCCACGTGACGGTCACGCGAGAGGATCGAGCGCCTGCCAAGGAAGGGAGGAAGAGAAACTAGCGCTACGTACGTACGAAAAAGGCGGGGCTTTTCTTCGCGGCGACGGCGTGGGCGAGGCGTCGGCGCCCCGCTCGTGGCCTCATGTGCGTGCGCAGATTTGGATTCAGATTCCGCTCGAGCTCGGTCCTTTGCTTCCGTCGCGTCGCGACTGCTGCCACGGGAGATCAAGCGGTGAGGTGAAAATTAGTTACTGCGTTGACTGGGGAGGAGGTAATGGACCTTCTCGGTCGTTTCTCGCCGTTCGGCGGTGCATCTCTCGGCCCGCCTCCGTCGTTCACGGGAGACGAGTTCGTTCCGGCCCGTGGGCCTTCTTGACCCGCTGGACTCCAAAATACCCATCCCTTGTCGGCTAGGGGCTGCCGGACCCGAGCCCGGGCCTATCGACGACAGAGGGTCACGGCCCGAGAGAGCTGAGCTATCACTTTCTCCTAAAGGAAAAAACTACTCCCATTTCTTTCCTAAGAAAAAGGAGAGAGCCGGCCGGGCTACCGTCCGCCACCTGGATACACCTGGGGGCATGTGGACTGGAGAAGAAGAGACGCGGAAATGCACACTACTCTCGCTCCCTAAACAAAGAGGGAAAATAGAAATACGCCCCGAGAGCGCCGAAAAAGTCAGACCAGCTAGCTAAGCTATATTCGATCCGCCGCCCACCCTCGCCCGAATCCGCCGCGCCGACTATCTGGGACCCACATACAGCGCCTCTCCGCAGCGCCGCGCCCCGCCGGCCGTCCTCCACCAGGTAAAGCTTCGGATGGTGCTCGCTAGCCCGCTCCGCCGGCCGGAGAGATCTGCCGGCGGCCTCCGCCGGTTGCTTCCCGACCTAGTAGTGCCTTCTCGCCTTTTTGTCTTCTGCCGGCCGTCCCTGGCCGGCTAGTTGATCGCCCTGCGGAGAATAGGGGGATTTTGCTGATGTGGTACAGAGGGAGGGATTTCGGTGCTAGCCCCTGCCATGTTCTTGTTCCGGTAACCGGAAGAAGAAGCTGATGGCTAGATTCTTTTTCTATTTTATTTTTGGGTAAGCTATTTACTGGAGCAGCCGGAAACCCTGTACCTCTGTAACATCAGACCGATTACGGTCTGATCGACCTTCTCGAGGTGTCTAATTTCATACCACTAGCTGGCCGACCTGATTAGCTTCCCAATTGTTGCCATTTCAGTGCTTTGGATGGTAGGATAAGTATTTTTTTTCCCCAATAATGGCAGATACGCTTCTTTAGGCAAATTAACCGTCGGTGCTATGTATGTATGCTTGCGAAGTCACGATGAGACAGGCAATAGTCCCTGAAAGACTTATCCTGGATTTTCTTAATTTTGTCATGGACTTCTGAATATGCTTGTGCGTTTGTAACAACTTGACCCCCATTTGTGTTTGTTCTGATTTGGCTTGTTTATCTTTCGTTGCAGTTCTGGACTGGTGACACCGTAACGGATTTATCTTGGAAAACTCGGAAGTGCTCCGGGGAGTTTGGCCCGGAATTTCCTTGTTGAGTTATCACAAGAGTGGAGGCTCCATACTGGTTCGGTATTTGTGCGTTACACCTGGCGTCTGGAGCACAGGAGTGGGATATTGTCGTGGTAGGCCACATACCTATTAATAGACCACGGTAAACGTAGTGCATAGTGGACGCTGAAAGCACTGTTCGGCTTTCTAAATATAGATAGATTGCTATAATGGATGAAAGGAGGACGATTTTGATGGACCGTTATGAAATCGGGAGGCACTTAGGGCAAGGGAACTTTGCCAAGGTATATTATGGTCGGAATCTTGCAACTGGGCAGGCTGTTGCGATAAAGATGATCGATAAGGAGAAGGTTTCGAGGATTGGCCTAATTGTGCAGATAAAGAGGGAGATCTCAATAATGGGATTGGTAAGGCATCCCAACGTGTTGAAGCTTTTCGAGGTAATGGCTAGCAAGAGCAAGATTTACTTTGTTTTGGAATATGCCAAAGGCGGCGAGCTTTTCAACAAAATAACCAAGGGAAAGTTAAGCGAGGATGCTGCGAGGAGATACTTCCATCAGCTCATCAGTGCCGTGGACTACTGCCATAGCCGAGGTGTTTATCATCGCGACTTGAAGCCGGAGAACCTACTCCTGGATGAGAATGAAAACCTTAAAGTCTCTGATTTCGGGCTAAGTGCCCTGGCCGAGTCCACGAGACAAGATGGCCTCCTCCATACCACCTGTGGAACTCCAGCTTATGTTGCCCCTGAAGTGCTTAGCAGGAGAGGCTATGACGGTGCGAAGGCTGACATATGGTCCTGTGGAGTAATTCTATTTGTGCTGGTGGCTGGTTTCCTTCCTTTCCACGACACAAATCTTATAGAGATGTATAGGAAGATCTCCAGGGCTGAATATAGATGCCCTCGCCCTTTTTCTGTTGAGCTAAAGGATCTACTGTATAAGATTCTTGATCCAGACCCAAGCACTAGGGCTTCTGTTTCAAGGATAAAGAGAAGCGCTTGGTACAGGAAACCCGTTGATGTAAATGGACTGAAGATTAAACAAGAAACAAGAGATAAGGTTCAGAAAGGTGAACCCACAACCTCTGAATCAACAGAAGGCATCAATGCAAAGGTTAACCAAGAAGCGTCATCAAGCCTCACAAACTTGAATGCCTTTGACATAATTTCTCTCTCAACTGGGTTTGACCTATCCAATTTGTTCGAGGAGAAGTATGGCCGGAGGGAGGTCAGATTTACCACTAGGCAGCCAGCAGAGGCTATATTTGCCAAGCTGAATGAAGTGGCCAAGAAATTGAAGCTCAAAATCAAGAAGAAAGAAAACGGTGTCTTGAAATTGGCAGCACCAAAGGAAGGAATGAAGGGCATTCTTGAGTTTGATGCAGAGGTTTTTGAGTTTGCGCCTTCTTTGCATTTAGTTGAATTAAAGAAAACCAATGGAGACACTATAGAGTATAAACAACTGATGAAAGATGAGATAAGGCCCGCACTTAAGGATGTGGTTTGGGCGTGGCAAGGCGAGTCGCACCCGCTCCCTGAGAAATTTATCCGAGGAGAGCAGCAGCAGTCACCTTTGCCATCACTGCAGCAGCAATCACCTTTGTCATCGCAGCAGCAGCAATCACCTTTGCCATTGCAGCAGCACCAGCAATCACCTTTGCCATCGCAGCAGCCACAGGAGTAATCGGCCTCATTGCCAATCTGCTACCACAAAAGCACAGGACGAGATGCAGCCACTGCCGCCATGGCATCAGCAGTACCTACCAAAAACTATTGTTGGCAGCACCTATAAACCATGCGGAGCATTGCAACGGCCAGGATGCATGTCACTGGTTCATCAGGTTTACCCTGTGTTAGTAGATCAGTTGCCTATCATTTGGCATTTCCCCCTTCTTTTTAGCTCCTTTTGTATTGCTTTATGAAGGAGCTAAATATCGTGATTATATGATTATATCCTCTTTGAGAAAATGATTATGTCATATATGTGTGTTAATAGCGAAACGACATCATCTTCTGGTGCATCAGAAGGAAGTGCCTTGCTATGTACTCCTTCCGTTCCAATTTACTCGTCGTGGTTTTTGAACTAAAACCACGACGAGTAAATCGGAACGGAGGGAGTAAGATGTTGGAACCTTGCATCGCTGCTCACCAGATATCTATGTTTGCCTTCCGCCTTGCAGTTTTATTTGTCACCTGCTGTAACTTTTCCTGTTTGCATTTGCACGCGAGATATGTTGAGAGATGTCGTACAGCGCCCCTGGAATTTCGTCTATCCTTCTACTTTTCAAGATAATTTAAGTTTGTTGGTGGAAAAGCAAAGAAATGGGTTAGTCATTCCCATTGTAATATCATCAAGAACAAGAGAATGAACGAATATCCTACTTTGAATTTCAATTGAGCATCCGATCATCTGTTGATGCTGGGAATATTGTCTGCAAGGGCTTGGAACCTTCATGTTACATTGGGCGTGATTTGTGTTCCGATTAGCGTTGCGCTGATGATTTGGAGCAAACCTCTTGGTTTCTCCATAGCTAGGCATTTTCAGGTTCTGACTGATAATCCCTTCTATCATTTGATTAATTCCCTTGATGTGTACTGAATCCAGGGCGAAAGGGTGACTTAGGACATGGAACTACTGTGTCTGGGTTGTGTAATGCAGACATGCAGTACAGTTTGTGCTCCCAGTTCTCTGTGCTCATCATCCCATTGCCGAGAAACAATGAGGGCTTCTTTTTTACTTTTTATAGAAAAGGCGCCGGCCGAGCCTGAGAAGAGCTCGAACCTAGCCCGGCTTTGAATTAACAAAGCCATCAACCGGCCAGGATTACAGGCAGCAACATACACAAAGGAAAACATCGGAAATGAGGGGTACAAGGTGCTAAGTAGAACAACTCAAGGCAACTTCACAGCCGGCAAGAACAGACCATGCAGTTGCCAACGACCGCCACTATATCTACACCAGCTAACCTACTAAGGCCATGGGAGGAGGGCACCGCCATGCGACTATTGTGTTCGTTGACTGCCACCGAAGGACCAAACATGGGCAGCAATGATTTGTCTGCAAAGGGCCACCACCCTTCCACCCAGGCTTGATGGGTGCCACACCGGCGGCCGGCAGAGTGGTTCACCTAGAACCCAAATCAAGGTGTCCAAGTGCCCAAAGAGAGACACCAGGAGCAGACCCACACGCAACGGAGGCACTACCCCCCAAGCACCGTCGCCGGCAACGGTAGGACAGAACGTCTGACATGAGATGTTGAACGTAGGCGCTGAACCACGGAGAGGGCTGAAAATGGCAGCACCATACATCGGTCAAGGATAGGAATCGCCGGACCATCGACACCGAGAAGGACACCGATCCCCTCACACTAATGGCCGAGACCAACCGCAACAGGGACCGAGCAAGCGCAGAAGATGTAGCCTGGCCAAAACACGTCGTCATCGAACCGCTGCCACCTCCACCACCGCTTGAGCAGCCCCCGAACGATGCCTGTAGGAAGGAGCACGCCACCATAGTGTCATCGTCGCTTGGAACAGTGGGCCTGGGGCTTTCACCTGAGCTCCTGGGAGGGGTGGAAGGAAGGGGATCCTCTCAGAAGCCTCCAACATGGGGAACAACACCCAAAGGCGTCGCCTTCGGAGTGGCCGCCGCGCCGGCCAAGGGATTCCCCTGGATCCACTTCCAACCACCAGATTCGCAGAGTCAGCACCTGAGATCGGCGGCCGAAGCCATCAGGGGCCGGATCCGTTGCAAATTGGGGTTGAGGACGGACTTCTCCATGGCGACCAGCAGCCAGCGGGGGGTGTCGCAGCAGCCTGATACGTCTCCAACGTATCTATAATCTGTGAAGTATTCATGCCATGTTTACAACAATTTTATATGGTTTTGGTGCACTTTTATATAACTTTTATATGATTTTCATGGACTTAACATATTGACCTAGTGCCCAATGCTAATTGTAGTTTTCTGCTTGTTTTTGGTTTTCCAGAAAATTCATATCAAATGAAGTCCAAATGCAACGAAGCTTTTTGACAATTTTTTTTGGAACAAAAGAGACCCCCGAAGCTTCGTGGGAGGACCAGAAGAGCCACGAGGCCCCCCACAAGCCACCATGGCACGCCCAGAGGGGGTGGTCGTGGGCTGGTGCCTCGTGGGCCCATCTTAGCTCCTTTTCGCGTGACTTCAACTCTGGAAATTCTTATAAATAGGGAAACCCCCAGAAATAACCCTAGAACTTCGACTCTGCCGCCGCAAGTCTCTGTACCAAAGAGATCCCATCTGGAGCTCTGTTCCGGCACCCTGCCAGAGCGAAAATCATCACCGGAGGCCATCTTCATCATCCCTGCGGTCTCCATGACGAGGAGGGAGTACGTTAAGGGATTGTTATATGATCCAATTATGTTAGCACTGTTGAGAGATTGCACCACTAAAAGTATGAACCCTAGGCCTTGTTTCTAAGCATTGCTATACCTTTTGTGCTCTGTTTTATCACTTGCTACATTGTTGTTTTTATATTTTTCATATTACAAAAACCTATATCTACTGTCCATACTAGAATTGTATCACCATCTCTTCGCCGAATTAGTGCACCTATACAATTTGTCATTGTATTGGGTGTGTCAGGGACACAAGAGATTTCTTGTATTTCATCGCAGGGTTGTTTGAGAGAGACCATCTTCATCCTACGCCTCCCATGGATTGATAAACCTTGGGTCATCCACTTGAGGGAAAATTGCTACTGTCCTACAAAACTCTGTGCTTGGAGGCCCAACACGAGTCTACAAGAATAAGTTGTGTAGTAGACATCACACCGGACGCCCACCACTTCCACACCGCCCACACAACCGGGAGGTGACCCACTAGCACCCGTCAGCGCTGCCCACCGCACAGGTCGTGCCGCGCACCACCACCCAGAGCCGCCGCCTAGAAGCCGGCTCTCCACCCGAGGTGAAGATGCACGGATCCCCGCCGCCACCTTCACCTGTACCACACGGTCGTGCAGGTGGGTACCTCTAGTTGCGGCGGAGAGGAGAGATGCGAGGGGGTAACGAGGCAGAGGTGCTAGGGTTCACCCCAGAGTCACCTCAAACGAGGCGGCGCAGGGGGGGAGGGGATTGGATCACCAGGGCTTCTTTGATTTGCAGGATAGTAGAAACGAAGAATTGCACTCGTATGTCCAGCTGGATCTTACACGACTTTGTATGCACCATGAAAAAACAAAGGATTCTTTACATAAAGTAGAACATAAAGTTGAAGTGGATGTAAATTTTCTTTTGAAATCTAGCGTAATGGAATCCTTAGAAAAAATTCTTACGAGATACGATCCTATGAATCAAACAAACAATATAGGAAAACATTCTAAGGGTTTCGATTCTCCGCTATTCGCAGGGAAATTCTTTAAATCAAATAGGCCTTCATCGTGGAAAGAGAAGAATCACTTTGTGCAATACAAGTGTTAGGGCATATTTCTCCCTAAGTGGTTTTGGTGATTGATGACAATGTATTCGCGGACTAATCATGTGCATTGAGCATTTCAGAGTATCAAGCATATGGCACAAGACGATTCGAGCCCCTCGAAGTTTCAGAGTGAAGACAATTTTCTTTCCTGTGTTTCTTTTTTGGTGGACTTGAGTCGTAGGGGAAATCGTACTATCAAGAGGTGGTCCGCTTAGGAATTGTTTGGGTGGAATCATCACGTACACACTCTTTTAACTCCCATTTCTTCTTTCCATTTCCTTGGAGTAGTCCATATGTTTTGCAGAAGAAGTGGTGGAGAGTCGCAAGCAGTAGTACTGCGGGCGGCAGCGGTAGTACCGCTGTTTGTTCCGCGTGAACTACCGCTCATGGTTGTGGTCTTGACTTTTCGTGTCAGTTTTACGGTAGTACCTCTGAGTCTCTACTGTGCTACCTTGTTAGACCTTGGAGGACGAGCGGAACTAGGAGCAGTAGTAGAGGCGGTGGTACCGACTGTAGGCGGTAGTACCGCCCCTACCACCGCTGCTACTACTGCTCAGTGCTCTGTTCTCCCCTATTTCTTCTTTCTCCTTGCCATACTGTAGGAAGCGGCAGTACCGTTCCTAGAGCGGTAGTACCGCTGGTGTGCAGGCTGAGAAGAGCATAACAGTTGGATTTGTTCCCCACTATAAAAGGGGGTCTTCTTCCCCAAGAAGACTTACCTCTTCCTCCCCCAAACTCCATTGTTGCTTCAAAGCTCATTTTCCGCCCGATCTCTCTCCCTAGCCAATCAAACTTGTTGATTTTCTAGGGATTGGTTGAGAAGGCCCCGATCTACACTTCCACCAAGAGAAATTTGATCCCCCCCAATAACCCCTTGCAGATATTGTTACTCTTGGGTGTTTGAGCACCCTAAACGGTTGAGGTCACCTCGGAGCCACATTCTATTGTGGTGAAGCTTCCTGGTGTTGTTGGGATCCTCCAATTAAGTTGTGGACATTGCCCCAACCTTGTTTTTAAAGGTTTGGTCGCCGCCTTGAAGGGCACCACTAATGAAATCACGGCAATTCGCATTGTGTGAGGGCGTGAGGAGAATACGGTGGCCCTAGTGGCTTCTTGGGGAGTATTGTACCTCCACACCGCTCCAACAGAGACGTACTTCCCCTCAAAGGGAAGGAACTTTAGTAACACATCCTCGTCTCCACCGGCTGCACTTGTGGTTATTTCTA